GTGGACAAAACTGTTAAAAATTGACCACAAATTCTAAGTAAATAAGTTCATCTGCTTTATATGATATAATCACGTTGTTTCTATTTTTGTGTTTGTTTTGATCCCTTATATTATCTGCATTGTGGGTCAGCCCATGTTTTCATATTTTTTTCGCTCTGACTCTCAAAGTTCTGATTGGGCACTAAAACCATCGAAGTATCCAAAAAATTCAGAAAACAACTACACAAGTAAAGTCCTACTTCCCCACTACGTCCTCAAGGATCTGGTTGCCTTTAATATTCAACCGCCATATGTTTTTGAAATTTCACATGAAAATGGAATATACAAAACAGTTTGCTCGGTACTTGATTTCCTGCTTGATGACGACGAGGTAGTTGTGCCTTCCTGGATGTTTGAGCAGCTATGTTTGGATACAGCAGACAAGGTTTTCCTGAAACAAATAGAAATTGAAAAGGGTGAAGGAGTGAAACTTCTTCCACATAGTGTGGAATTCTTGGAGCTTGAGAATCACAAGAAGGAACTGGAAAAGACACTGACAAACTACCATGTATTAAGCTATGGAGATGAAATACTGCTGTATTTTGAAGAGATAGGAAAATGTAGATTTACCGTTACGAAAATATATCCTGAGCATCTCGATGTTATTTACATTGTCGATACTGATCTGAAAGTTGATTTTGACGAGCCTTTGGGATACAAAGAAAAGATTGAGTCTGAAAAAACCGTTATGAAATATGTGGTGGTTGGGAATGATGATCAGCCAATCAAGAGTCTAAATATGAAGAAGCCAGGTCTATTTTTTGGTTGGGATAACTTGAGAAACAGTAATGAAAAAACAGAGTAGAAATGGCTTAAATGTTAGGGAAGACACATGAATGAATCTTAATTAAATATGCCCAGCACAATGCCTATTAATTCCACCAAAAGGCTTTGTTGTCTCACACAAGATGTCCCATAGCTAACTCTATAACAAGGCTTGCTGCTATCAAGCCATGGACTACAGCAACTACTGCTTTTGCAATGTTTCTGGCAAACGTTTAATTAAAATTTTTATTTTGATGTACTACCACTCAATAAATCACAGAAAACATAAGTACCAATAAATACTACCAGAACCAGCAAGCATATTAGCAACGACATTGAATTTAAATGCCCATGTCTATCCGTGCTTAGTCTGAAATCCTCGCTAGTTGATCTTTTGATTGAGTTTTTGGCATTATCTTCATATGGAGCAAATAAAGGCATGCCGTGGCTGGAAAGATAGACTACTCGTGGACAAAATTTGTCATTGATTAGCTCTTTTGGGATGGCAGCTATAGTCTGGTAGTACAGCCCGACGGATTGGGTGGGAGGACAATTTTGAGGAAGGTTACAACTTAGAAAATCAGAGCTATTTAAGTTTTGAGAAAGAGGACTAGTGCGTGTTTGGCTATGAGATGCACAAGGACAACAGGAAATAGAATGATGATTGTCAAAGCTGCAGTATTGAGGTGCATTACCCACGTACTGGTACATTCCTGGGGCAAAGAAAAAGCTACGAAAATAGTATAAACTGTGCTGTCGAAGGACACCTAAATATCATATTTTGCGTATCACATGTATTTTAACAATAAATTAGATTAACATTTTCAAGGGCTTTCAGGGGTATCTCCTCTTTCATGACGGTGATTTCAATCTACGACTACTTCTTGGTAGAATCTCTCAAATGTCTTTCAAAGATCCCACTGGAAAACCAACTCAAAGAATGTATTGGGTTAAGGATACTTGTGCTGGATTACTGCGGAGTAGTTAGCAAGTACTTCTACAAATTTGCAGACTGCGATGTTTTTGCCATCCAGGACTCCAGTGAGCCGGCTCCAGATCTACTTGACTTGTACGATGTTGTCTATGTTGCTGCAAATGAACTACAGCATGTTTCCGTTCCAAAGCCTTGCTTGAAGATCGTTTGCACGAGAAGTCAGATCCAAAGAATAGAGGTTGCAGGCCATATTAAAAGTGGCCAAAAGGACTGCTGTGGAAAACTCAATATATAGGTTGTACGCTGTTTTAAACTATAAATAATTCTTGTAAACAAACAGCCCCATGAAATTTCCAGGCAAAAGCAGATTGCTGGGCAGGTCAAGAGAGCTATTTCTTTTAACTCAAATGGCATTTGCACTAATGTTGCACATTGGATGGCCATTGTTTGTTGAATTCCAAGTAGAAAAAAGGAAAAGAATGGCCAAAATTGCATTTAATCAACTAGTGAAGGAGAGAAGCATCTCTAACTCAATTCTAATCTGTTTGAAGATTTTGATAAACAATTATGAAAGCCTGCCAGATGCTTCAATTCTTGATTCCAGAGATCTAAACGAGCTTCAAAATACCTGTGATTGCTTGGTTCCTGTACAGAAGAAGATATTCCTTCTTTATTCTATGAACATGAGCATAGCAGTTTTAGGTTCGGTAATTCTACCTGGATTGTCGTATTTAATGAAAAAAACAGGCTGATGATTCAGTGCTATTTGACCATTGGTAACTACGCGCATTGTGTTTTGATGGCCTCACTTCGGCTAGTCAGCCGTGCTTGGCCAAAAGGAGACTACTTTCAGAAGTAATATGCATCGCCTAGGAGAGTACGACGCAGACCAATTTATCCTATCATATGAAGTAAATTTATTTTTAGCTTAAATTATGCAGTTTTGATACAAACCTTATTTTACATGGCACAATAATGGACCAGCAGCTACATTTAGTCTTCATCAGACTCTTCCTTTCTTTCAAAATTCAATTTTTACTCTCCGGCAAGATTCAAAGCCCATGTCCAACTCCAAAATAACAAGTATTATAGCACACATAGACCATGGAAAAACCACACTACTCGATAGCATCATTGCATCCACTGGATATTTTTCAAAGTCGCTGGTGGGCAGTCTTAGATACTTAGACAGTAGAGCAGATGAGCAAGAGCGTGAAATAACGATGAAGCTCAGCCCAATAAAACTCAGCAATGGGCATGTGTTCATTGACACTCCTGGCCATGTTGATTTTGAAAATTTGCTCTTCAGCTCCTCTATCCTGAGTGATAACCATATAATTCTAGTTGATGTGAATGAGGGAATAACACCACGAACCTACAGCCTAGTAAAATTCATAAATAGAGACAGATGTGTACTCGTAATCAACAAAATAGACAAGTGTTCCGACTTTGAAACAGTAGACCTCGTTCTAATGCAGATTAACGGGATGCTGGGTGAAGAAGTCTTTGGATGGCAAAGGAATAATATAGTTATAAGCTCGGCAACGCTAGGCGCAGGGATGTCCCATGGAACATTTAGATTTTCGCCCAAAAATACTCTACAGCAAGCTTTTAAGACCTTTAAAACTTTGAATGCCAAGATTGATAAAAACGATGTTGATCAAATCATTAAAAAGTATGGCATCAAGTTCGCAAACAAAAAGATAATTTTCAGCACAGTGATGCCACTCTACGAAGCCATATTTAACACAGTGGACCATATCTATGAACGCATTGATTTGAGCGTCTTGAAACCATTGAAAATAGATGAGTCATCCAAACTAAACACCACAGACGTTAATGAGCCTGACTGGTTTAGAATAGACAATGAGCTTTTCAGTGTTTCGTTTGAAAATAGACCGTCTTTCTATGGTATTACAACATACGGCGTCCTTAGGAACCGAAATGAATTCAAAAGAGAAAATGTGATCCAGTTGATGAAAATACTTGGTGGAAAAGTCACAAAAGGTGATAGGCTGTACTCGTGTTCTGACAATGAACAAAGGTATGTAGTCCTGGATGAGATTTATGATTTCTCCATTGATGGCTATACAAAGGTAATATCTTTTGAAGGCCCTGGCTTGGTCTACGTTGGTGGAGACTTTTTGAAGAATTCAATTATATCAACGGAGCCGGCAGTCTTTTCACTTAAAAGAGTCCCCACTCCATTTTTCTGTTCAAGGCTGATTTTGAAGGATCTTGCAAAAATAGACGACCTGAAATCAGTTATACGTGCTATATCGTTTACCGAGCAGAATCTCAAGGTAAAGCTCAACAAGTTTTCTGAGTTTGAATTTAAATGCAGTGGGAATGTCCAGTTCGAGAAGATATGCTATGACTTGAAAGAGTGCGGATTCGACTTCATGACTAAGGAGTCGAAGAAAGAGTTTAGAGAATTTGCAACGAAAATTGCTAAAATAAAGTGTGCAGATGCATCCATTGGGCTAGAAGTTATTATTGGGCCGATTTCGTTATTTGATAAAAGCCTTAAAGCAGAGCTGGGCATTAAAGACCAAGATCCAAGGATTAAGTTTTCTGAACCAAAAAACAATATTTATTGCATCGATGGTGAAAATGACAACCACATAATCGAAAGTGTCCTGGATATTTTCACAGACTCTGGACCCGTTATAAAAGAAAGGATTATCAATACATTTTTCTATATAAAGTCCAGTAAAGACATGAATATTATGTTTTTCAATACATTGAAAAATGCACTCTCAGATCTTTATCTCCAGACAGACCCATCAATATGCCCACTCTGCCTTTCTATACTGTTCTCTGTGT